TGGGCACTGTAGCTCACAAGCCTCAAGAAACCTATATAGAGAGGAGACAGTGAGAAGCAGTTACAGTTTTTAGAGGTGCAAGGAAAACTCCAGGGGAATATTCAGGGTAAAAACCCATGGAATCAGGTAGGGACTGAGCCTGGAATCGAACCCGGACCCCAGAGGTGGAAGATTGCATACAAGTATTATGAAAATATTCAAGTCAAATCTATTGCTGAATGGTGTAAATGGGTCATTCTGGAAATTAGGTGTCCCTTTTTTCATGTCCCTGTCACATGTGGCATGTGATTTTTTTAAGTTCAGAACACATTTCCTAATTTCCAAGAGTGATGAATTAATGTAAAGTACCTGTCGGACAAGTAAAAATAGTTTGGAATCAATTTCGTCGATATTTCCATGTCAAATAACAAAGGTCAGATGTAACATTGACACGAAAATGTCACACTTTTGGACCCCTAATTTCTTGAATTACCCACATAAAACGGACATGTACACGTACACATTTACCTGTATATTCACCAGTACCTTGGAAGGATACTGAGCTACTTAGAGTTTCATTGATTGCATTTTACTAATATGGTATCAATACACGTACATGTACACTGTGTGTACTGGTCTGTTGTAGCTCTATAGAAAACAATCTTAAACTTAAGTCTCAGTACTTGCACCCAGGGCAGTATGGTCCACAACACACTCTGATGTTTATATGTACATGTGTGAGACAAATAAGAACTGTCATAACACATGTTTATTCATGTGGTGATCTTTACTTTCAAAGGTTTTTGATGAACAACTTTGTAACCCTACTTTCTGAAATGACCCCCCCATAGAAAAATCAACATTGCTGCACAACAAAGAGCGATTAAATTACAGTTGGCTGCTGCAAACCGAATCGGAGTGTATTGATGAAATGATGTGATGGGGTCACTTAATGTGGTTGTATTGATACTAGCATTCATCCTCCATGCTCCTTGTGCAGATACTTGGCCTTGTGCCTGACCTACTGGCCTTGGTGCCATGTATAATTCTGCTTTAATCAAGGCCAGTGTGACCTCACCCTAAAAATTACCAAATTCAAGGGCCGCATAGTTGTTTTATCTCCGACTCGGAGTTATTCATTTAACGTTTAGTGAATTCAAGAAACGTGTTATGGCCAATTCCTACAGTATCTTGGTCTTATTCTTCCCTCAGGCATGAAGTTATTTCTTCTCCAACTTATCAACAATTCATAGCATTGCCAACTTTACAAGTTGGATCCAATTTTACAAGGATCCAATTTTACAAGTAAACAAATTGCCTAAAACTTTTGGAATTGCAAGTTACGAAAGGTGCAACACATTTGTGTTTCCATTCGTCATAAGCAATGTAGACAGATTACAAGGTTTCAAACGACATCATGAAAGTATTCCTTCTTTCTTTCATTGGTACCATGTACCGTACCTCAGTAACAGAAAGGTAGTGTTACGGCAAATGTACGGTTTTCAGTACACAGTTTTAAAAAGCTGTTACTAGCTAGTATATCATTGAATTCCACAACACAAACAATACAAGAAACAAGATGGCTTGATACGCTGATAAGAGTGTTGACTGATGTACATTCCTAATACATTTATAGTCTGCTGTGTTAGTTGCCTTACCCCTGTAAAATAATGTATTGCATAGCATGCACACTTTGACCCCCCACGACTATGACTCACACACGATATTAAGTGCAGAATTTTTTATTCTTAATTATTGTGATGCAAAGCAAAGTGGCAGAGCTGTTCGAGGAATCATTCCACATCAGGCAGGAGAAGTAAGCGATAAATTCATTTTTGTTTCATTAACACAGGCACAGATTGTTTTTTGGAAGTCTGGGGCCCTGCCATGCTTCTACAGCCATGAGTCATCCCTTGCAAGGATTTCCATCGTGAGAGCTTGGACAAAACAGATCTACAATGGAGGCAGATTCTACCTGTGAGAGGACACCGGAAGACTTTGCCAAAACCCCAGGTGACAGTGTCTGTGCAACAACCTATGTATCAAACAGTTGCTTAGACGGCACTGAGGCAGATGAAGAAGAGGATCAGCCTGCTGACATTGGCAACGATGGTAGAGCCACAGTGTCAGGCAGTAGTGGGTCGAATTCTGAAGCCATGTGCACTATTGATTGCAATCAACGAGCCATGCAGGTCTCAGCATTAGATTCTCTCGTTGATTCATCATGCAGTGAAGCCACAAACGAGGCTGATACTGCCTCAGCCCGGGAACCAAGTGAAGATATCATTTTTACCTCAGATGAAACTGAGAACAGTGTGGAAACCCATGCTTCATCCAAGTGCCTCCTCAAAGATGACATCAGCATTGCCTTGACAGATGTGTCAGTCTTGGAGCCTCACAAGCAGTCAGGAAAAGGAGGAAATCGAGCAATGGTCCTTTCCCAAAAGATAGAGGGTTCCCAAGCTAAAGGAGAGTGCCAAACCTCTGAAGGTACATTGTCAGGAAGAGAGTTACCCACTTCAGAAGGTTCCCAAACAACAGAGAATCTTAGAACTTCACGAGATAACCAAGCTGTGGAATGCTCCCAAGCTGCAGAAGGTACAGAAGCCATCACAAACTCCCCAGCTATGGATTGTGCCCATGCTACTGAAGGGAGTCAATTTACCAGAGACCAAAACTCTAAAGTAGGTTCTCAAGAATCAAAAGATTCACAAGCTACACAGGATGCCTGCGGTTTAGATGTCACAAAGAAATTTCAAGCTCACAGGAGCTCTCAGGCTACAGGTGGTTCCCAAGCTGTGGAGAGTTCTGAAGCTACAGAAGGTTCCCAAGCTGTAGAAGACATCCATGCAGGAGAATTTTCACAAGATGCAGAAGGATTTCAAGCTGGAAGAGGATCCCATCTCGCAGAAAATTCTCAAGCTACATGTATAAAATGCCCCAATAATACAGAAGACCTTCAGGCTTCAGTTGATCCATCATTGCATTCACTTTACTGTGTTTCAACAGAAAAGGGGCACACACCTTTCATTGTTGATATGACCACAACGCCAGCCACCGAAATGCCCATTGACACTCCAGATTGCCTGAAAGGAATCCCACATGACTCAATAACAGACGTGAATGCATCGGCCGAGCTTGTGGATGAAGAAGACGACCTTTATTCTGAGATCATTGCAACAACTACCAAAGTAAAAATTCTGAAGAAGTATTATGGGGATGTGACAAGACCTGGTATATGCCATCGGCCACATCCTAAGAGATACTACGGGTCCTTTGAGTGCGAGGAGTGCCTCCGTTCATTCTCCTATTTACCATCTTTGTTGTTCCATAGGAATAGACATGGCAAGAGGTGCCATGTGTACAGCTGTTCCAAGTGTACCTACAAATCCGTCCTCCCAGGTGCCTTCACGCGGCATGAGCTCCTGTGTCACTCAGACCAGCTCTTCCGATGCCATGTCTGCGATATCACATTTCTGCAGAAAAGCACACTGCGCAGACATAAGTCAGCCAGTCATGGTCTCCAACATGCTGCTGTGCCAGGCCAGGGGCATCCAGTTAATTATGCGTGTAATCTTTGTAAAGGCGTGTTCTCCAGTCAGGTTGCAGTGAAGAACCACTTGCAGCTTCAGCATGAGATTGCTGCATGCCCTGGCTTAATCAACAGCCACTCAGCCACCCAAGCAGATGATCCTGTGTCTAGATACTACCACGAAGTTCCCTGTTGCCCCGCCAAATCCAGCCAGCTTTTCCAGGCGATAGATGAAATACGGTGCAAGAAATGCAAGCTTGTGTTTCCTAAGCAGGGTATGGCTTTCGTTCAGCATCGCCAAGCAAGTGATGCATTGGCTAAGACACACTGTAAGTGGTGTAAGTACAAAGGTACTTCTCCTTGCCAGCTTGCACGCCACAAAAGAGTGGTCCATTTCTGGTGCTTGCTCTGTGATTGCCGGCTTGCAAACAAAGAGCTGTTAAAACTACACACTAAGCTTGTTCATTATGGATTTAAGAAAAGGGAAGGCTTTGCCAAAGGAGCCATGTCACCAAAGGGATCAAAGGATCAGCGTCATGCATCATGCCAGCATGAACATCAGTGTCTGAAATGCCTGAGAACATTTTCCTCAAGCAAGCATTTTAAGCGGCACATGAAAGAACTCCATGAGGAAGATGGGAATTCACAAGTTGCAGCAGATGCAGAAGTTGTACATCACTGGTACTGTACTACATGCAATGTAATATTTCCAACCAAGAGACTGCTCGAGCTGCACGTCAAGCTCAATCACCGGCCAATGAAGAGGGCAGAAGCCAGCCCACTCCAGCGGCTTGGTCTATCCAAGAAAGATCAGGAATGGCGCTGTCTACTCTGCAACACCTTGCACCCGACACTCCAGGACTGTGACAAGCACCTGATTATGCATCACCCTGATGAATATGAATACTGCTGCCGAGAGGAGATTGCTGAACCCACCCTACCTCTCCCTTCATCCACATTGTCAGAATTAGGTCCCCCATACACTTGCAACATGTGTGACTGCAAGGTGACGTCTGTGGAAGCCCTGCACAAGCACAAGGAACAGTTTCACAAGCTGGCATACAGCATATCGATCAGTGACGAACTATATGCCAAGAAACGAATGCATAAATGCAGGTATGGGTGTGGCTTTACAGATAGAATGTACAGAAATGTCACTCAGCATCAGCTTGGCTGCAAGTTAAGGCCAGTACGCAAGTGCAAAGATACAAGCCAATCACCTACAGTGTTAGATCCAAGCTCAGGAAAGGTGATGTCTGATGGCACTGCCATCTCTTGCATTGAAGAGACCCCCAAGCAGCTGTCAACAGAACATGAAGCAGACAACACTTGTGTCAAAGAGTTGACTGGTTTTGAAGGAGCTCCTCAACTGGTTTGTATCAACCAGGATGTGAATATGGCAGCCTGTTCTGACAACATTGCCACTCCAGGTGTTGCAGAGAGGCAGGAAGAGATAGTCATTCCTGTATCAACCAATCAACACCCTGCCTTTTCTGCACCAGTGTCATCTGTAGAGTCTGGACTGAATAAACCTAGGTGGTCAGCAACTTCGGGGTCTGACTCTACCTCAGGTGCCAGCCAGAAGGTCACCCAGTTTAATGTCATACGTCCACTGAGTAGGACTGAGCATCCACAGAGTGTCAAACTGCCTGTTTATGGCAAGCATGATCCAATCAGCAGCAGCAGTGACAATGAAAGTGATTGCAGCTGGCTAGACAAGAGCAGCAGTTCAGAGGAGTTAGAGGAGGCATCTCCAAGTGCAGACTCAGCTGCTGAGGTAGAGGCCATATCAAGCGAAGAGGAAGATGAACAGGCAGGGTCTGTCCGGGAACCATCAGTGTTGTCCTCTCAGAGTCAGGCTGCAGGACTTGTAGGGCAGGGTGTCCAAGGCAAAGCTGCTGGAATTCCCTCAAATCCATGTCCACCATTGCTACAGCCAAATGTGCTCATGAGGTTCTTCCAGGCTATTGACATGTCCGATCTCTATCGCCTCGCACTTCAGATGATCACTGGTTCCCCTCAACCACATACCTTACCTGCTTCAGACCCAGCTATGGTAAGTTCGAAGACAGCAAAGTTCAAGTACAAGATTCCCCTCGGCTTCAGTCACCCAGAATTCAAAGAGATGCCACTCTTTCCATCCTCGAAAGAAGTAAAGCGACTGGACTACCTGCAGACACTGCCATCCTCACTTATTTCTAAACACTACAAAGGCGTGCTAGCTAAGCCTTACCGCTCACACCTGTCCTCACTAGTTGACTCTGCAGTCCTCAACCATTTGAGTGAGAATACCATTAAAGTTGTGGAGCGCTATGTGAGGAAGCAACGGGTTGATGATCGTAAAGACATCACCTTGAACTTGTCACAGTACATTGTCTCTCAATATTTCAAGAATCAGCAGAAGAAAATTTCTGTCACCCAGCCCAACTCTTCCAATCTTACTTCGGAGAACAGTCCTGGCGCAGGGCCTAGTGGGGCTCAAACAAAATCCCCTACAATTCGCCTGATGATCACAAAAACAACACGTAATCCAGCCATAGCTCCAGTCCTCACTGTCAAAAGTGTTGCCATACAACCGTCTGTTTCTAATGCTGGCTCTTCTCCAGTGGAAACAAATCTTGTGCTTAACCGTACACTTCCTTTAACCAAGGAAATGTTGAACAGAGGATCTCCCACCTCTGTTGATGGTAATACCAATATTCCAGTTACAGCAACAGATACAAATGTGTCAGGTGTAGGCCAGACTAAGTCTGATGACACTGCAGTGAGTGAGAAAAGTAGCCTGTTGTCTGAAGGAAAAAAAGATGAATTGACTCCGGGTTCTAAGGTCAAAAAGAGCGCAGCAGCACATGAAATCACTACAAATAAACCAGCCCTTTACAATGTGCCTGTAAGGAGATCAACAAGATTACTCAAGGGCACAGGAAATGAACAGTCTTCATCAATAGCTGCCAATGGTCTCATTGACTCGGAAAAGTCTGACATTTCACAAAATCAAGAAGCCCAACCAAAGGGAAAGAAAGCAGATTCAGTGATGGATGATGAAGCAAACCGTTACACGTCAGAAGAAACAGATGCTGATCAAAGTGACCCAAAACAGGGCAAAAAACCATCAAGTGAAGGTCAGTGTAAAAACAGCTTTTCGCAACTGACGAATGATAAGTCAGATGATATAAACCCCAAGTCAAGGCCTAGGTCTCCAGAATCACGGCCACAATTAGGTTTTACAGGCATCACAGACATGTCAAGGGAGAGGCCATCGGCTGAGAGTCAACCTCAGGAGGCCCCCACCAGTACAGTACTGCATAACGTACACAATACCATGCTCCAGATGGCACCAGATGTAAGGTTCCCTCTGGTTCCGTATGGTAACAAATTGCTTGCTGACAGAATTCTCAGTGATACCATTGAGAGAGATGGCATCCTACAGACCAGGATGGCAGGACACCCTCTCCATGGTGGCAATGGTGGCACCATGCCAAGACCCATCATCTCAAACACAGGCTGTGTCACTGGGCTTGGGATTGTTCTTAATGGCAAGATGCACGTCATGCAGACAGAACCTGCCATCAAAGAGATGAGCAGTCCTTGTGGGCAGTCCATGTTACTTCGTAATCTGTTACTGAAAGGTGTTAAGGATGAAGACTGCAAACAGAGTCTGGCAAGCACAGAGTTAGGTCCTTTGGATGATCCTCTTCTGCAACAAGATACTGACTCAGCTGCAAGCCATGTACCTCGTGGGTATGGTCATTTGGCCAAAAGTGGCGTCTGCAGTTCGGCCATCAGCTCTCTACTAAACAAGATGCATTTGACCCCGAGAGACACTTCAACCAATCCACAGGTCCCTGCTACTGACCCGGGAAATTCTGTCCGGCACAAGTGGAAGAAGGTATTAAGTAAGCACGATGCCTTGGCAGTGGTGACTAAGAAAAAATCTTCAAGGTTTGCGCCATATAAGAAAATACTTCAAAAGATTCTGCTGCGGAAAGATGGTAGGACTTCGATAGCGACCATAGATGAGCTGCAGACTAGTGACTCTGATGGATTGCATAAAGAGAAAGCTATCTTAGACTCTGAAGAGAAGAGTCAGGTAGAACATGTCTGTACACTTAGCAAATCTGCCAGTGCAGGCAGCAGTCCTCATGGCCATCTGAGATGCACACATCAGACTAAGAAACACAGTGATCACACTTACAGCTTTAGTAAAATCAGTGGTAAGAATGACAGGGATACAAAATTTAGTACTTCCTTGGGAACAACAAAACGACAGGCTACCCCAGAACCTGCTGACATACCACAGAAGAAAATGCGGGGATCAGAGAGTTACTGTTGCACTGAGGAAACTCTGCCCAGTGGATCTCTCAGTGCTCATCCTGTACCTGGTGAACAGGATGTACTGGCTGAGTCAAGTGGCGTTATTTTGTCAAACCAGAGCATACCTCAGTCCATAGCAAATACTGCACCTACAGATGTTCAGTTAAAGTCCATGAAAGAAGCACAGAAAGTAGTGAAATCAACTCAGGAGATGGTTGTACAAGGCCCTGCTTCACGAGATTCTAAGAATGGCAAATTCAACTCAGAAGCCACAGATGGAGGCAAGGGATCTGTGGACATGCCCACTCCAGATGCCACAGAAGAAACAAAAATAACAAGGAGGTCACTGCGTCTGCAGGAAGCAGAAAAGAAGATGGAACTTGAGATGTATTACAAACCAAAATTCAGTGATAAAAACTGGAGGCAGGAATTTCTTCAACGACTCAGTAAAACACCAGTGATGTCAAAAGGAGCCCAGAAAGGAAGCATTGGAAGTAACAAGACCAAGAGGGGCAGACTCCTATTCCAACGCACGCATCATTACATGGGTGGCAACTTTCAAAGGAACAGTCCCCGAATAAAAGCCATGCACCGGGTGGACTATGCGTGCTGCTGGAAACTTCATGATGGCATGAAACAAAATCAAACTACCAGGGCAGAGGTTGTGCGAAGCAGTTCTCGAATTCAAGCCATGCCGAAGGTGGACTATTCTTACTGCTGGACAATGCAAGATGGGATAAAAGGAAACAAAGCCCCTGATAAAAGAAATGGGTCCAGGCAAGACTCAATCCCCAGGGCAGAGAGCATACCTGAGAGAAGCAGCTCTGAAATCCAGGCTATACCCAATGTGGACTGTATTTCCTTCAGAACAGCGCAAGATGGAATAAAAGGAAATCAAGTCTGTTATGCTGGAAACAACCCTTTCCCTGGACGGAGGGATGGGAGCATACCTCAAGGAAGCAGTTCCCAAGTCCAGTCCATGCCCAAGGTGGATTCTACTTGCTGCAGGAAAACTGAAAACGAAGTGAAAGGAAATAGAGTCCCTTGTGTAGGAAGCCAAAAGGATCTAGCACCTGACGAAGGCATGTCCAGTGAAGATGAGAAACTAATGAGAGACAAAGATCAGAAGGGCAATTCTGAAAGCCATCCTCAAAGTGAAGGTCAGTCTTACACCACATTCCCAAAGCCACTTCAAGAACAGATAGCAGCTATGGGCCGCTGCTTTGTCAGATTAAGTCCTGTCAGTGTTGACAAGGACCGCTGCCATAACAAACAAACGCCAGTCAGTCTTGACAAGAGCTGCATGGACCGATGCTCTGTTAGACTCACTCCAATCAACCTTGACAAGGACCATTGCAATGTTAGACAAATGCCAGTCATTGTTGAGAAATGTGTAGATCGCTGCTTTGTCAGACTTGCTCCAATCAACCTTGACAAGAACTACCAGGACCTCTGCTCTTTAGAGGACATTAATAAGAGCCACAAGGACCTCTGTTCCTCAGATAACATTAGTATGGACGTAGATCCTTGCACTTTGGAAGACGTTGACAAGAACCACAAGAACATCTGTTCTTCAAAAGGCATTGATGAGAATTGTAAGCACCTCTGCTCCACGGAGGATATTGATAAGGACAAGGATCCTTGCTCATTGGAAGACATTGACAAGAACTACAAGGACTTCTGCTCTTCAGAAGGCATTGATAAGAACCATAAAGACCTCTGCTCCTCAGAAGACATTGATAAGGATAAGGATCTTTGCTCATTAAAAGACATTGACAAGAGCCAAAAGGACATCTGCTCTTCGGAAAATATTGACAAGAACCACTTTTACTCTTCAAAAGACTCCCAAGAAAACATTGATAAAAACGAGGCTCCTTGCTCTTCAGAAGACAATGACAAAACCCACAAGGACTTCTCCTCTGCAGAAGACATTGACGAGAACCGCAAGAATCTCTGCCCCTTAGAAGATGTTGATGAGAACCACAAGGATATCTGCTCCCAAGAAAACATTGATAAGGACGAGGCTCCTTGCTCTTCAGAAGACAATGACAAAACCCACAAGGACTTCTCCTCTTCAGAAGACATTGACGACAACCGCAAGAATCTCTGCCCCTTAGAAGACGCTGATGAGAACCACAAGGATCTCTGCTCCCAAGAAAACATTGATAAGGACGAGGCTCCTTGCTTTTCAGAAGACAATGACAAAACCCACAAGGACTTCTCCTCTTCAGAAGACATTGACGAGAACCGCAAGAACCTCTACCCCTTAGAAGACGTTGATGAGAACCACAAGGATCTCTGCTCCTCAGAAGACATTGATAAAAACAATGTGGACTTCTGCTCTTCAAAAGATGACAACAATAAGGACCTCTGCATGACGGAAGACATTGACGAAAACTCCATCTGCCCTTCAGGAGACAGTGACAGTTAACGTTAGGATCCCTGCTCTTCAGGAGACATAAAGGACCTCTACTCTTAAGAGGTCATTGACAAGAACAAGGACCTGTGTGCTTCAGAATACATTGACAAGAACTACAAAGGCTTCTGCACTTCAAAAGACAACCCCAAAGGAGAGGGACAGGTGGCACAAGTACATACCTGAACCATCTTGAGGTGTCATACAAGCACAAGTTAGAAAGCAGAATTCCAGTGGTGATCTTTAATCATTTTGTCAGCTCATCAAAGGATAGTTTGAAGCCCACACGTGGAGCCTTAGAGAGAAGTGGTTCTGCCAAGTTGATGTTGAACATTCTTTTGGAGGTTTTGATATGTGATACTTCCTTTCAGTAAGTTTTGGGTTTGCAAATTAATTGTGGAGAGCCGGCCATATAGACTATGCTTCTCCTGGCTCACATGTGTTCCACACAGAGCATTCAAGAGATACAGAACAGTAAATGTGTTTTGACTGGAGCCTTTGGCGTTTATTTAGTCATAACAGAAAGAAGCTGTCAGAGGCATCAAGTTGCCAGTGTTGTAATTGAGAGCATCTCAAGACCCCACAGGACCATTACAAGAGCAACACAAGACTCCTAGTCTGAATTCAAAAGGAACAACAAAAGCATCAGTGTGAAATTATTCATCCATTCACTTTGTACTTGCGATTGGTCGTGTGACAGGTCTTGGGACTGGTCTTGTGTCTGGTCTTGAGATGGTGTCAACTGCAACACTGTAAGTTGCGAAAATGCACTGTACAGATTTATGTATACCTGTAGATTCACAGATTCTTTGTGAGAGCTACTGATGTGCTCTTTTGTTTTTATTATTGAAAATGGTTAAAAAAAATGAATTACTAAACGGAATCAAGTTGGTTTGAGATATACATTATAATGATTTTGTATAATTTTTTGAATAATAAAGAACAGTTAATTTTTCCATCAAAGCAGCAATTGCAAATTTAACATTTTATTTTGCGATCCACAAATGCAAATGATAAATTATCAACCGTATTCTACTAGTCCACCAGGGATGGACCAATATTGTTCAGATGCTCATAGAGGGGTAAAATTAGCACATGATATTTTTGGTGGTGTTCTATTCTGTCGTGCTCTCTCAACTGTGCAAGTCAGGCGTCGTTTCTGTCAATAGTTTTTGTAAATTATTACTCTGTGTCTACAGAAAAATAATGTAACTAGCTACTGTAATTGAAATATTAGTGGAGAAACGCAGAAGTTATTGGAAACATTTCATACTTCAGCAGATGCCACTAAGCCCTTCTGTTGGACGTCTTGTAGTGGAGTAAGAACGTGGCGACTTTCAAAAGTTTTGAGAGTACAAAGTGGCGTGAATGAAAGGAAAAGTAGATTGTAGTGTGATTGTAAGATTGTTGTCTCTGAGCATGGTCACAAGCTATTCAAATGAACCGTGACAGTAGCATTCCGTTGGCAGTGTTCACCCTGGGAATTGTGACTGGTCTTGTGAGAGAACTTGTGAGGGAAAAAGGCATACACCATACCTGCCAACATTGACAAGTCAGAAATCGGACCATCCATTGTAGGAGCCCATAGCAAGCTGGGTGACGGAAGCTATTTTACAGGAACATGTACATAATACATGCATTAAGTACATGTCTGTGTAAAAATGGCCATTGTAGTATAGCAGATAGCACCAGGGCTTTTTATGGAAATCAGAAGGTTCTACGTTCTGATTTTAGGCCTTTGACAATTTGAAAAATAAGAACAGTTCCAATTAAATTGTAAGAGTTGGCGAGTATGCTACATGTATGAACTTTTGAAAGTCGCACTTTGTTTAAGCATGCTGGAATGGGGCCAGCAGGAAAGTATACAGGTCTTTTGTGAAACGATCTTACCATGGCCTACAAAATGTTTACTCTCATGGCATTCCACTCTGCTCTGCTTGAAATCTTCTGTTGATTTCAACTGCTAAGTTGTTTCCTAATGGTTCTAGGGCAAGTTCAAAGTGATTGTTAATAACAGCTACACTTTATTTTCAATATCAACTTTTTTTTGTTCATGGGACAGTTGTCCTCAGTCTATTGAGTTAAAGTGGCATTTATGTCGGAATGCATACATTGTTTGAGTTTCAAGTGGACTGCGCTCTTTGAGCAAGCTTCGTAGTTTTAGTAGCTGTTATATCTGCACTAACAGGTTGACAGGAGTATGGAGGAGCCTCATTCTGGAAGGTTTGTAAATTCACTGTTCTCACAAGGTCTTAGAATGCACTGAGTGGTTGATGGTCAAAACCTGATTAGGGAAGGACATGATTACAGTACATGGGTAATTCCAGAAATTAGGGGTCCATTTTTTTCTTGTCCCTGTCACATCTGACATGATTTTGCTCAGAACACATTTCCAAATTTCCAAGAGTGATGAATTAATGCAACTTACCTGCCAAACAAATAGTAATAGTTTAAAATCAATTCTGGTGATATTTCCATGTGAAACAACAAAGATCAGATGTAATAGGGACACCAAAATGTCACTCTTGGACCCCTAATTTCTGGAATTACAAGCAAGCAATGACTGCTAATCAAGAAGGCTGCATTTCCAAGGCAAGGCTGAATTTTGTGGGTGGTATCTAGCGCTTTGTACGTGTTAGTCTTGGCCTTATTAGGTTGTTGCAAGTTTGTGGGTACATACATGCTAACAGCCTATTTTTTTGGTGGGGGGAACAATGCATCCCTAATCTTTTGGGATTTCTGCCCGTGACCCATGTGCTCTGCAGTGCAGATGTTTGGACCTTTTATTAAGCACCATGACCAGTCTACAGTATTTACCACGTATGTTTTAGAACATGTAGTTTGTGTTTGTTTTCAGGTTTTTTGAACAGCCAATCAAATTTTTGCAATTGAAATGTTTTATTATTGTCTTTGTTCCATATGCGGCAATGTTTAAGCAAAGCTCCCCTTAATATGGAAATACCCATGCAATATTTTGCAGGCTGCTAGAACAAGCCTTGTGATTGGTCAGATTGCACAAGATTTGTGACCTAATAGGCTGTCCAAATAGGGCAATATTGATGACTGACAAGTTCAACTGTGAAGCAGCAGTTGCAGACCTGGTGAAGGGTGAGCCAAGTTAAACAGACCAGCGTCTCCTGAATGCTGCTGCATTGTGAGAGGCCATCCAAACTCAACTGAATCTTGAAACGTATGTACAAATCTGTGACGAACAAAAATGGTATTTGAATCACCTCCTATTGTATGATGTTTTGTATTTACTGTTCAATGCAGCATTTGTTTTTGGAACTTTAATGCATGCCATTGTTAGGTTTTTTAGTTTTCCTAGTAAAGAATTCTAAATTCAATTTCCTGCCAAGGATTTCTTCCTGCTTCGTAGGCCAGTTGAATGGCCAAGTGGTTAGCGTCTGTGGTTTCCAATCTTAGGGTTGGAGGTTCGAATCCAGCTGTTGGCTGTATGTTGAGGCCCTTGGCGCAAGCCACTTCATCCCTGCTTGCCTCTCGCCACCCAGGAGCATAAATGGGTACCAGCATTAGCTGGTGAAGCAACCTGCGATGGACTGGCATCTCGTCCAGGAGAGAATAGAAATATTCGCAGTCGTTTCATGCCAAGGAAACCTGACGAACTAAACTGGCTCAGACCAGACTTGCTAGAATGTTTTTCTCAGTTATCTAATACATGTACCTAATTTTATAGCTAACACGTACATGCATGTTAATTAGGACAACACCTTTGTGTTTAATTTTGAAGACAGTATTCAGCTACATGTAAATTTAATGTCATTATTAATTGAGACCTTTGAGAGTGTTTTTCACATTTTACTATATTGTGAGAGGATACAGTGACATTAATGGGATACAATTCAGTTATTCCAAACAGGAAGATAAAATAGAATTCATGTTGATTGTAGTTAACCTCACTGTAAACTCGCATGCAAGAAACTTGTGTAGGACTCGCCGATGATGGACTTGTCACACAAGTCACATCCTTGGTGGTGACGATGAGAAACAAGGTAGTTTGTGGCTGTTTCCACATCAATTGGCTATGGCTAGTAGATGTAGTTACACAAGGGTCTATGAACAGTGTCTTCAGCCACAAGCCAGTGGCTTTCATAGGCTATGTGCTGTTTTGCAGCCGTAGGCAGAACTTTCAGGCCTGTCCAAGACACTCTCTTGTTACCTGGTGAGCCTTAACATTGGGTTTACATTCCCCTCATTCCAGTAGCCTGTCTGAGGGTCTGGGTAACAGGTGAATCTTTCTTTGAGTTCACTCGAGAGGAAACTCACTGTCCTGGATTGACAACAGCAAATGGCCAGGGCCCAATTTCACACAGCTGTTAGCCACAAATTAGCTAAGCACCAAAAGCATGTGTTGAGTTTAGCAAAATCCAGGTTGCCAGTCATAGATGCTGTATGCTTGATGTGACTGGTTCCCTGCTGAAATATGCTTAGAATCTCTGTATCTTGCTCATTCTGTATAGCAAGGTGTAAATTATTTATTGCATGATATGTGTAAAAGTCAATCTTACGCACAACCAGTGTTCTTGCTTGCATCAAAGACTGTCACTGGCAAGTGCCGAGTTGATAAGACTACTGCTTTTATGGATTCTTTGGTCATTTGATGTATTTTTTCCCCGCTTCCTCAACTTGTTACGTGCATTTAAATAAAAAGCAAACTTTGATATTCCAACTTCAACACACTGCCTGCAGGCTTTCTCAGTTGGGTTTTCCTTTCGGTTCATCGCATGCTGGCTGTATGTACATGTATGTTAACTTGTTGCACTGTCTTTTCAACCAGAGTGTCAAGTCTTGTTCTTTTTTTCATTCTTAAATATTTTCTTTTAGGGAAAATGGTTTAACTCGTAAGGGTCTGACCTAATATCCCAGACACTCACTTTTTATCACACTCTCAGAGACAGAAAAACAAGATAAAATGCTAGTACTTCCTTTGAAGTGCTTTTTTAACTAGAATACTCAATTTTAAGCTCCCTTGCAGTTAAAAAAACAAAGAATGCTGGGGTTTTCATTTTGGTAATTTTGATGAAAATGAAACTTGAGAAGTTGACAGTGCTGGAAATCGGTTTGTTAGCTGTGAACTAAGCTGGTTCTCGCTCATAAAAAGATCGTCTTGTAGTCCACATTGTTTTTATATCACAGTTACTATCCCAATTCGACCATGCGTTTATTTTACTGTGGCTTTTATTTTCTGAACTACCGACAAGTGAAATGGTCATCACCCCTACCTTGCCCTGTTGTATTCTAAGCAGTAAAACATCAAAAAAATAAAAACCAAACCTGCTTGAACCAACTCCATAAAGACGTTTAACGCATTTCCAAGCTTCAAATAAACGTTCAGTCTTTCCTGTTAAGTGACTGTAAAGAATATTGTAAAGTGTGATTACAAATCCAGAATAAATCACCACACAATAACCTCACATCATTTATGAACGTTATCTCCGCAGACCTCCACAGAAATTTTAATATTTCAACACTTTCAACAAACAAGAAAGAATTGTGAAAGGAATCACCATACCACATTCGAAACCAACTCCAACTTTTCAACAAAGAAACTTTGCTGCACAAAAAATGCTTGTACAGCATGCATATTCCTGAGGGAGCAAACCCAAACAACCAGTTCTTGCGTGAAGCAGATCTGTGAGGCAAGTCGTCGTGCAGTCATACGTTTTGTGGCAAGAAGAATGCACCAAAATGGCACATGGAAACCAACTCGTGAGGTGCAACTTTGCCAATTAATAACCTTTTTAAGCTCTGCCTTTACGTCCTCAAAAAAAACTTTTAGCATATTAAAATCAAACACCCAGTGTTAATTAATTTGATTTCAATTGTGAAATTCATCAGCAGGAAAACAAAACAATGGAAAATCACAATGAACTTGGTTTTAATCCGAACGTTTCAACAGTAACTAAAACTGACAACAACATCAGGGTTACTATTTCAAATTTCTTTAGTTTACGTCAAAAATCTGTTTTTTGGGGAAGGCTAAACCAAAAAGTGAAGAGTCTTGCAAGTACTCCCAGTTTGACCCAACAATCTTGAGGAAGCCAGTATTTTTTAAAAGAACCAATTTTTTTTCTCCAATGAACCCAAATCTACGAAATTTCAGATGGCAGGAATGACGGCCGGTAACTCCAGATATAATTGACCAAACAAACATAAAACTAAAGAATATCCACAGAGTCAGTAGCACAAGACTCTACTTGATATCACACAACAAGGCTACGCCCCTGAGGGTCCAGTGGTCAGGATTCTGGGTCGTCTTCAGCCATATCGGTGTGATGTACGTCAGGTCTGTACGCTTGGGTTTCTTGTAGACGGGGCACTGATACAGTCGAGAGTCCTTGGGTGCTGTGGAGTTGATGGCAAACATGTGGACCACCGGCAGGTTGACAAACAGCACCTTGGGGGTGGGGTCCACCAGTTTGCAGCCCTTGCGATCCCAGCTGGCACCGTCAAGGTACAGGCCGTGGATGTAGACCCCCTCCTGTAAATCAGATGTCAAAGCAATCCCGTTTATTTCTGATTTAGTAGTGTGTGGTGGCAAGGACCCAGGTGAACCGTGTGTATGTAAAGTATAACAAGTTTACAAAAGTAGGAAGGCCAACCTCCCACCATGGTTTAGACTTGGATGCCCCAGGGGGTGGGGTGGGGTGGGGTGGGATGGGG